ATATTAATCAGTATATTTTTTCAATGCAATTTGTTTTATTATTATATAATTATTAATTGTTGATATTCAATCAGACGATCAATTTGATTGGTAAGCCATTTTATATAAAACTTGAATTGCGTATTTCGCATCATGCTGTTAATTGTTACGATATGACGTAGCTACAACGCTTTGTCACTTCATAATCACCCACTGTACATTTATTCTGAGGTATAACCAGAATGATAAGCATCAAGAGGATATAAACATTTAACAACAGTAAGTTATCGGTTAACTTTGAATAGTTATCAAGTTTGAATTTTATATTTCATAACTATAATTAAAAATTACATACACAGTTGTATAACTCTCATTCTCTTATAATAACTTTTGTTAATAGTTTTACTGCTTATTTTCAATTTTTATGTTGCGTAAAAGCCCCAAAAAAAATGGAACTTTACAGACAAATGTACAGGTGCCTACAACAACTCAACTAAAATGAACAAACATTAACAAAACATAATGTCTCTAAGAGCTAAAACCACAAATGATTTTGATTTAAAAGTTCAGTCTAAAGCTGTTGTTAGTTTTTTACCTACGCACTCAATAAATAAAAGTATGTATTTTAAAAGATTAAAATCTACACACATGTGTACGCAATGTAAATATAGGGTGCATATTTTCACATTTAGTCAAACAATGAGTCCTGGGCGTGATTCACTAAATAAAATAATAAATAAGTAAGGTACACAATTTGTAATATTGTCGAATAGAAAAAAATGTCCTTAATTATAATACAAAAATGATGATGATAAATGATAATAATACTTCTGCCATAAAACGTTACTGGTAGATATCAAACAATTACGACCTGCTGAATGTGGGTTACTTGACTATAAAGGATAAGTTGATTTTTTGGAAAATAATCCGTTTTGCAAATGCTATATTTGCCAACTTGATGATGGTTGGCTCAAAGCTCATAAAACATATAGAAAATGTTTAATTTTAAACTTTATGAGTGTAGATAATTGATACGTGTACCTACCAATTACTATATTATTTAAATGATGATTTGACTATCGATGGGTTAGTATTTTGTGCGTAGTGTTTTTATCTGTTATATTGAAACTTTTACTCCGATAAGTATTGGAGGTAAATTGTTTTTATATGCATTTGAAGTTGAAATTATGACTAATTTTGATGATTCATAAACAGAAAGCAACTAATTCTTCTCTTTCAATTCAATACAATTTGTCGATGTACAAAAAATAAGTATCGTAGAAACACAAAACTTTTCTCCACGATGTACTTATGTGTATCTTAATTATCTATACACAATGTAGTTTTCAAGAGGGTTGATTAACTTTGAGCTATTTATTCCACAAACATATTCTCACTATTTTACGATACTTAAATTATAAGTTATATATCATCATATAATAAGAAAACCTTAGTTAAGACTACCAAAATACCTACTAGAAATAAATTATTAAAATAAACATATCAGTATCCTCAGAAATGTTCACTCTTACACTTGTCTTTTTCGCTTGGAACCGTTTTATCGCTTGGTGGATTATGATTTATCACATAATTTACAGTGAGCCAATCAATGACCACCGATTCACTTAAAACCTGCTCCATTTTACAGCAGAGCTCATTTTCTGATTATGTTTGTTTGACTAAGAGTTGCGAGTTGAGAATTTTCGACTGGAGCCGTTTTCGATGCGTTTGACCTTATGGCCGGGTAAGCCACATACCCGGTCGACGCACGTTCCTCTCCCCCCCTCTCGCGTAGCGCACACATTGTTTTTTTTTCTTTTCGTCCCGTCTCTCTGTTTCTCTCCCTTACTCACCCCTCGAACTCGTGTGTGAAACCTCATCGGTATTTTACGACCCGGTGAAAAAGGTTTAAAATAAAATACCGTTACCGAGCGAAAACTCGTTTCGGGTTAAGCCGTAGATTTTCCATTTACCTCTATCGGCGGAGATAATTGTTTTTCCCCAGCCCGATCGTTTGCGCGCACCCGAGTCTGAAATTTATGGACTCGCAAAGTGCGGCAGCGGCGGCGGCGTCGAAAACCCAACAAAAGTAGAAGAAATATATTATTATGTATATCTATACACTCGGCCGTACACCGAACTTTGGCCGAACAGGTGTGATAGTGCACTGCAAGCTCGAAGGTGCTCTATGCTACCACCGTTGCTTCGACAAGATTCGCATTTATCATCGGCTAAACAGTGTAGGTGTGTGTGTGTGTGTGTGTGTGTGTGTGTGTGTGTGTGTGTGTTTACTGGGTGCGTGTTTTTATTTCGTCTTCACAGCTTTCACATCACTCGTGTTTACGCCGTCAGTCCATCTTTACCCTCGTTCGTTTTCAGACAGGTATTTTATTTTTTTCCACTCTCTATTTTCTCGCAGTATTTGGCACTACCAGACGTCAGCAAAAATCGTACAGCCGTGAGTAGGTCGGTGCGCGTCTTTCCCAACTAATAATATCCAAAGTGCGATACATTCCTCCGTAGTCTGTATACGGGGAGCTCGATGAGACCGAACAAATTTCTCAGTATAGAAGTAATTAAAAAAAAATCAAAAAACATTACAGAAAACATCGGTTCTGACAAATTATAAATTGTCCAAGAGCACTTACTAATAATTACTTTTTTTTTCAAAATTCTGTTTTTACCGACTGACATTACATTACCGAACATATTATGTTACGACTTCCGTAGCATTTCACCGATTAATTAATAAACACGTAACAAAGGAATGATAGCGCTTTTCAAATTTTATGAGGTGAATATATTACATGTGCCATATTTTATCGTCCACGTCTGTGATATACATAGCATAATTTATTATGTATATCTGTAGGTGAAATAATATAACACGCGGCTCACAATTCGATTCGTATACAATTCAGAAATATTCATCCCGTCGGAACCCATACGTAGCTCGTTCCTACCCCTACACGCCAGCGCCACTCTCTCTCTCGCCAGTCGGGGGCAGCTGTAGCGTCGATCGTTTTCGACTTCCTCTTCTCGCGCTAACGGCACACCGCTCGTAAAAAAATGCCGAAAAAATAAAAATAAAAACGCAACAACAACGGTGGCGCCCCGAAAACGAGCCGAAATATCCTCGCCGACAACGGTGTGTGTGTGTGTGTGTGTGTGTGTGTGTGTGTGTGTGTGTGTGTGTGTGTGTGTGTGTGTGTGTGTGTGTGCCGCTAGCCACTGCACCGCCGCCGGGCCGTTTGGATATACAATATTTATAACGTCGGTTGTTTGGAAGTCGAATCAAAAGAACATTTTCCCGACGCATCTCCGGCTGTAAACCAGTACACTATACACACGCATTATACACATGTACACTCGAACGCATTCGGAATATGAAAAACTGCCGGGCGATAAAACATTTATGGGTGACGTGGTGTTTTTGTTGTTTCGTTTTGTTTTTTTTGTTTTTTTTTCCGTTAGATTTATTCTCGCGCGTAACTTTGTAAACTACTGTTATCGGTCGGTCATATATTATATACACATCACCGTTGACCACACACACACACACACACACACACACACACACACACACACACACACACACACACACACACGCTCGCGCGCACACACAAGATGCCACCACGTACAATCGTCTTTTAAAAAAAAAAAATAAATAAATAAATAAAACTTATATTTTCCGTCGAATTCGACACGAGAATTTATATCAAGTCATGCACGTATACACTGTTCGTTTAAATCTAGTATAGATCGTCGTTAATGTTTAAACACTGCACGGACGTTATGGTATTTTTCGGAAACACGCGCTATCGTGCAGTCTCGTACATATAATATACGCACCAGAAATACGAAATATACCATCATTTACTGTGTATGCATAATTTAGGTGCGCACATATTATTATGTATTGGATGTTTTGATGTTGGCACCGTTATTCTAATCAGATAATATTATAATGATATAGAGAGTATACGAGTCGTATACAGTGCGCATATAGTTGTCGACAACATTGTCTTATCTGAGAAGACATATTATTAAACAATCGTCCGGTCGTGCATTAGACGTAGCAGGTATTATAATAGGTGCATAATATTATGGCGTCAAGTATAATAGATTATAGTCAAAAGTCGCCATCAATTTGTATTTGTCCGCGTTATCACGAAATGTTAATCATCAAACTGTTTTTAACGGGAAAATTCCCGAAGGCTGCAGTTGTAATAATATACATCCATAGACAATAATAATAATACGAAACCAGACGTTTGCACGGGACATCCGATACCCCTCGAAAATTGTATCATCTGCGGACACTAAAATATTTAATATTATCAAAGATGTAATCAAATTTAAACGGCGCCATTTCACCGGAATCGATAACTTTATGTTTACAATTAAATATGTTGAACATTTGAAAAGGAAACAAAAATTGTTATTATACTGCGCGGATAAGATATATGGTCGATCTTGAACAAAAACAAAATGGTTCCTTCAACTGATTCCGTAACATTTACGATCGTGATAAAAATGAGTTTGTGATTTACATACGATAGAACTCAGTATTAAAAAAGTTTTGATTTCACTCTTATAACTTTGATTTCAAAAGAACGAACAAATGGCCCAGAAAGTTGTCTGTTACCAAACATTGAACTCCGCGATCGGATTATAAGAAGAGTCCAAAGTTGTCAATGAAATAATATATAGAATGTCGCAGTCTGGCGTAGTATACTATGTAAATAATGAAATTAAATTATAAATAGACATTTTCGTTTTTATTTTTAAAATGTATTGTACGTTATTTTATATTTAACCAAATACGTACATACGTACAATAAAACGTACATCTCGTTTCGTTTTTGCACAGTATTCGACATATTATTGACAAACATTCAATGATGATGATGACGATGAACGATGAACGTGTTCAGTCACTGGGCTTGGGGTTAATTTTACACGGCACAAGTACTAATTAATTATTATGTTATTAACGGTCACAAATTGTATGTTTACAGTGCCCCCGGACCGGCTGAGCGTGCTGAACGAAAAAGGCGATCACATACCGCATTATATACTCGGGCCATACAAGGAAGGTGTGACGGTCGATATCACGTGCATCGCAAGCGGAGGTAATTAATCATGATAATATTATTAATTATAATCTACATGCATTAACGGTTGACGGTTGTACGAAATAATAATAAAATAATTACCGGAGGAACTACTTAAACGTTCATCAGAAGCTGCTGCTGGACAGCGAAATGAGTGTGATGAGAGATTGGTCTTGCGGACGATATAAAATTATCGACTCTCCCGCCGTGATGGAAGTTTAAGTGCGAGTTCAATAATTCTAATACTGCATTACTACATAATATTATAATCGATATGCGAGGAGGAGCATTAAAGAGTTACATTTTTTTTAGAAGTAAAATCTAACTCTAAGTATTAGGTAAACAAATACTTAAAAATAATATTATTCAGTTGGATTTCGCCTTTGATTAAAATACATTATTATAATAATTATGTACTACATGCTATACATAAGTACTTACAGCAATTAATTTTAATGGATTTATTTATTTAAAACTGCAAGGCCTCTATTAAATTAGTACATATTATATGTTATTTGATATATTTAAAAAAAGTATAATTTTTTAATTAGGTATGAAAAAAAAGTAGGTGATATTTAAATAAGTTAAGTTACTTGAATTTTCTAGTTCACTTGTAACTTTTATAAGTTCAAAAATTAAAAAAAAACAACTATAAACTTTTAACTTAACTCAAATGTTTCTATATAAAAATAATCAACTTACCAACCTTGTCGATACGCATATATGGTCAACGGTTTTAAGAAATAGGAATATAATTATTATATGAACTATTTATACAATCGCTCTGCTGGTCAGTGAAACGAATGTTAGAGAAATCTTGCTATCGATGCAAATATCATCTTTGCCGTGATTGAAGATTAGGCGAAAGTAAAATAATAATAATAATACAAATAACATAATAATAATTATGGTAATTTCGAAACAATCATAATATTTTGTCCACGAGTTTTGGTTACACCTGTATGACAACGACGGAGAATAAAAGTGTTTTGTAGCCTAGCTATGTTTACCTATATTCATCGGTGGTGGTGTTAGTTGTTGTATTTTTAACAGCCTAGAGGGCTAAAATATTAATTATTGTATTCACAAACGCTCGCTGGGAGCCACACTAATCCGTTACCCCCCTCTTAAAAAAAAATATTTGTACCTATACTCACATCGGAAAAATATATTATATTTTTTTTAAAAAACCGAAGCTCTAGGGAACACCTTTCCCCTCATAACCGTCACTGGGCTTTTAAAATAGTGCATGACAATTTATAATAATATATATTGTTTCATTGTATATTTGTATTGACGTGTTGTACTGTTTTGAGACGAAATAATATTATTATTTCGCTCCACTGGAAATAACAATGAGACTAAAAAAAAATGTTGACAGGCGTGACAATCCGATTCTTGTTTATAATATTTAACGTCCATAATATATACGAAAAGAAACCACTTAACCATCTTAAAAATTCGCATATGTATTTTTTGTATTTCAACGAATTGCTTAATTTGATGTCAACTGTTTGTAAAAATCAACTGCTATATAGTGTTGAATAGATAGTGAATAACGTTAGATATCAATATAGGTCAATCGATATTATACTATTATTGCTTTTGTCTCAAAATTTCTTATTTTTGCTTATCAAAAAAAAAAATAGGTAATATTTATAGTCGAATAAACAGTCCTTACACGATTGCATTTCTAAGCTGAGGATCATAGTGACACCTAATTCCACTAAGTTATTCTTTTTTTTTTTTTCTAACGTATTGGCATCGATTTGTTTTACGTTGTTTTACTTAAGTACGAAATAATGGTGTAGAGTTTTGAAAATGTACAAATCAGAACAATTATTTCAGCTATTACGTGACTGTTTGAGGTGAAGCACGAAATATTAGGCACAAGGGGTTAAAATCTCTGTAGCATTTTTATTTTTTTTAATAACATTTAATTTCATATATACACGTAAAGTGCCTTTCACCGTACTGGCGTATGACTTTATAGACTTTAATATTAGTGTTTATCAACCCTTCTCCCCCCGCCATGCCTATCGTGTGAGAAATATTTTATTTCATATTTTTTCGTACGTGCCCGGCCGTCACAAAGTGGTTGTGTACGTTCACACCGACGGAATATTATAAAGTGCTCACCAGAGCAAACTGGTACCAGGGCAATCTCATTAGACTAATCAAATAAATTAAAATTAACATATATACATATATACCTATATATTATATATATATATGTATATTCATACCACCTACGAACACAATTCAATCGTAAATTCCGCGCACGTAAGTTGACGTCATCGCCGCCAGGTCACAAATAATTAGGAGCAACGAGTTTTTATAATTAAGTGTTATAATAATAATTATTATTATTATTAACCGTCACATGCTGAAGAGCGACAAAAAAATAAAGTAAATAATAAGAACGTTAGCTCGAAACCTTATTTTTTTAATAACGTACGATGCTGCAGCGAACGGCCACCGTCGTTTTTGACATTTACAGATATTTTATACAGTGGTATACATATTACATAAGTTGTTATATTATTATATTCATCCAAAGCCCTTACAAGGGGAAGGGGGAGAAGTGGGACCTGGAGTACAGGTGCCGGCTATTTTGGGGGACCATTGAAATGAGTTTGTAATTTTTAAACTTTTGATAGGAATACACATTTAATATTAAATAATATTTTATGATATTAGTATACTTAATAATTCCATGAAGTCGATTTGTTATTTTTTTGTCAACAATTTGGTAGAGGGGGCTGTATTTATCTATTATCAGCTGTTGGCGTGTACTATGACAGTCATAGTATAATGTAATATAATATATTTTGTGTATTATTATACAGTCTAGTGGTGATAACTCGAAACTCAATAATTTGAAAATCTTCAGAACCCCGTTTTTTTATTCTCCTTGAAATGTTCAAAAGTTTTTTCTGAGGTATATATAACTTGAAATAAGTCCAATTTATTTTTATTCCCCTTGAGATACGACTCGTCAAGACTCTAAAATGTATATTCTTATAAATACTATGGGATCGTGGAGCTTTCCGAACTCGTGTTGAAATGCAACTCTTAATTAATATAATAATATTATTATTTTATTTGATAAATTCATAATTAAATTTAAAACGTATAAAGTCGATGCACTAGTTCATCCGAACCCATAATGTTTATGTATTAGTTATACTTAATAATAATAATTTACTTTTCACTGTTCTTTAGCCTTTAATTTACTGTTATTTAATGATATTATGATATTCTTGTAATTCGTACATGTCTTCAGTTCTCGTCCGTATGTCGTTTCCGAAATCACATTCCATTACCGTTTTCGTCAATATCGAAATAATCGTAGGTGCTTATTGTTTTCAATCTTTTCTAAGGAAATATCGATTGATTTAGCTTTATTTTATCAGCTTTCTGGCTTTCTCTCTATTTTACCCAATACAATTCGGGCAGCAAATTATGCTGTACTCAATATAACTGTTTTGTGAACCCACCTCTTCGTGATCATGGATGTTAACGTTAGTTCTAGTTTTTGAAGTTTCAGATCTATGAGGTCAATATTTCTAATTTTCACTAAGTGCTGTTATAGTTTCGACGCTAATATTATTATCCTTATTATTAATATTATAGACATATTCTCTGGTGGTGACGGAAATTATGATCAGCTATTGAACTTACTAGCTGTTTCCATAGTTATCTAACAAAATACAATTGTCGAGATTCAATTTTTTTTTCATATCTGGCCTTTTCAATCATTGATTTTCATAGTTGAAACGGTCTTTTCAGCTCTTAGCGTAATTAGAACTTGATAAAGTTAGACAAAGTTGTATTAAAGTCTCAATCAGTTGCAAAATGTTTGAACCACGTGAACTCCACACAGCCACACGAACAGTATTCAACCACTCTATAGTTCTTGGAGTACGACGGAATCCGCTGACTTCTATTGTCATTAGCTCTATTACTGACTAGTTAAGTTTGTTTTTCAAACACAAAACTTATCACCATCCAAAATCATAATCCACAACGAGATGAATATTGTACGCTTGATTTTTGAAATATCTGCACTGACTTTTTCAAAGTCAAATAATACGTGTTCTATTATTGCGTGAAATATCGTCCACTATAAAGTATAATATAAGTAAACTTCATATAAGTGTTTAAAGCTCGAGTATATAATGTAAGCCGACTGATTATTTTGAACAGAAAACATTCATTGTTTTGTAATTATAATTATTGGTAATCATTAATTGATTTTCCAAAAGGATATAGTGTATTTATTTAGGTATTATTACTAAGCTTTGCAGAACTGTATAGCTATTACAAAAAAACCATAACCGTGAAAAAATGAGTAATTAAAAAATGTTAAAAGTGTATGTATATTTCTAAACAAAAAAAAACTAAAGATCAATCTCAATCAGTGTAAGTTATTGTTAAAAAAAGGATAAATTATTTAATTTTAATTTAACAGGACATTTGACTACCACAATAATTATTAAATATTATGCGTAACTAAGTATTGTAACTTGATGGATACATCATTTTCTGAAGTTACTAAAGTCATATTCTGTACTTAAAGATATGCTAATTTTAGGGTATTCATAGGTATGTCGTATTCACTTTAAATTTATAATATTATATAGTACTTTGATGCATTAAGCTGTACTCATTCGCTAACTAAAAGGGAAGGGATCTAAACAAATTATGCACTCGAGTAAAATATTTCCGTTGTTGATCGTTAAACGTCGTGTAGTAATAATTTTACTATTTAAGTGCAAAAAAAAAGTACTAGATCTGGTGTAACCAGAAAATGTACTGAAATTGCCTATCCAATACTATATTTGGTAAATCAGTTTGTGCATCAATAATTTTGTCAATAAACAACTTATGCTAATGTAATATTTATTATATTAATATTTATTCAATACTCAAATTAAGCAAATTAGTTTAATAAAAAAATGTAATTATACTATAATATTATCACGCCATATACTAGGTAAATAAAAACAAAAAAT